TGGTGCTCTTCATGTTGGAAATGATTTCCTTTGGCACCCAAAAGCGTTTGACCCCATTGTTTGCTTGCTTGTTCACCTTGATGGCCACCACCTTGTCATTTTTCTTCTTCTTCAAGAGATAAGGTGTGGAGGCCTTCTTGTCCACCTTGTTGGTGTAAGTGTTGGAGAGCTTGCTTGTTTGCTTTTTCTCCTTCTTCTTTGCTCCTCCCCCATTCTTCACCTTGCACTCATAGGACTTGTGGCCTTCTTTGTGGCACACGTAGCAAACCACGTTTGTCCTTCATCAAGCTTTTCACTCCCTTGACGGTGTTATCTTGATGAAGTTGGGTTTGCTTCATTTGCCTTTCATTTGAGTCAAGTCCTTGGTGAGGCGAGCTACTTCTTTGCTTGAGTTGCTCATTTTCTTTTGCAACCTCTTGTGTGCATGTATCTACAATCACTTTCTTAACACAAGCTTGGTTGCACAAAGGTGAGTCTAAACATAAATCATTGCAAGAGGTAGATGCATCCTTTTTAATTATGTCATTTCTTTTAGATGCCTTGGTGGGGGTATTTTTTACGGCCTCAAGATTAGCAACTTGATTTGTTAGCTCATCACAATGTTTGCACATGATTTCTATTTTAGCAAGCAAACTTTGATAATCATTTTGTGAGCTAGCTAACTTTTCTTTTAATTTTTCATTTTTCTTTTCAAGTTGCTTATCATTAATTGTGCATGCACTTGTTGTTGCACTAGCCTCAAGTTGCTCAATTTTAGTAGATAGTTCAACATTCAGATTTGCAAAGTTTTCATATTGTTCAAGCAAATTCTTGTATGCTTCTTGTGAACTACCTAGCTCTTTTTTTAAAGTTTTGAGCTTCTTTTGTTGACTAGTGTAAACTTTAGCATATTTAAGATTTTGTTGCACAATTGTATTGTAAGAAGGCAAATCATCATCACTATCACTCTCACTAGAGGATGAGCTTTTGTTACCTCGTGCCATAAGGCACACACGAGAAGAGCTTGATGATGAGTGCTTGTGACCTCGCCTCTTGTGATAGTTTTCTTCTTCACTTGGAGAATCATCCCATGGCCTTATTGTTGTGAGGGCTTTGTTTTTGCACGCCTTCTTCTTTGTCTTGGGTGTGGGCTTGTTTGGACAAACTTCCACAAAGTGCCCCATCTCACCGCATCCATAGCATCCTCTCTTTCTTTGCTCATTTCTTTGATTGGTGAAAATGAGATCTTGAATTTGGATGGGCACACCCTTGACATTGAGCCTTTGGATCATCTTCTCCACCTTGTTGATTAATTTGATTGATTCTTCATCAAGGTCGGAGGTGGAGGAGGAAGATTGATCATCATCACTTGATTCTTGTTCATCATCATCATCATCCTCATCTTCTTCTTCTTCACTTGAGGAGCTTGAGCTTGAGCTTGACTCAACTTTCTTGCCCTTCATCTTTTTCTTTTCGCTACAAGCGAGAGCTTTGCCTTTGCTTGATGAAGATGCTTCTCCTTGACCCATCTTACGTGACATTTCAAATGCCACTAGCTTGCCAATGACAATGCCCGGGGTCATGGTGCTCAAGTTCTCCATGTTGTGAAGGATGGTGATGATGCTTGCATATTTCTTTTGTGGTAGAACAGAGATGATCTTCCTCACGATGTCCGCATCATCTAGCTTTAATAATCCTATTGAATGGAGCTCATTGATAATTAGATTCAATCAAGAATACATATCACGAACAAGCTCATCATCATTCATAGCAAAGGAATCATAATTTTGCTTAGCTAGACAATGTTTTTGCTCACGGACATTACTTGTACCGTCATGGAGCTCTTGAAGTTTTAACCAAATTTCATGTGCCGTATTTAAGGTGAACACTTGGTTAAACACATCCATGCTAAATGATTCAAACAAACAATTCTTAGCTCTAGCATTAAAATGCATTTCTTTTTCATCACTCTTTGTGGGTTTTTCGAGATTCTTGATGGGTTTCATCCCGTCACGAGTGACTCTCCATACACCCAAATCAACCGCCTCAAGGTGGCAAGCCATTCTAGCTTTATAGTATGGGAAGTTAGTGCCGTCAAATTGTGGAGGCCTAGCGGTATCCATCCCAACCACTCTACAAAAGCATCGGCTCAACGGCGGTTAAGCCAAAGGTCCAAATATGAGCCAACCTGCTCTGATACCACTTGTAGGACACGTGGACGCCTAAGAGGGGGGGGTGAATTAGGCAACTTAAAAATCTAACTCACGACTGTGGCCTCTTTTTCTACTTCTAGCAAAACCTATGCAAAAGATAATCTATCTAGATGTGCAACTACGGTTTCGCTAGTGTGTTGCTATCTCTACCGCAGATGATAATAATATGATCAATGTAAATGCGGAAGCTTAAAGAGCAAGGTAGAGATATACAAACTCCCGTCGACGACTCCGATATTTTTACCGAGGTATCGAGAAGCGCGCAAGCTTCCCCCTAGTCCTCGTTGGAGCCCCTCGCAAGGAATCCCTCGCAAGGGCCAAGCTCCCGGTCGGGTAACTCCGTGGATAGCCTCGGGCCTTCCCCACGCGCAAGTGGGTCTCCGACGTGCCTTCCAAAGAAGCCTCTCTCGGATGCTCCCCGCCTCTTCACTATCAAGCTTTCGGCTAAACGCCATGGGCCTTGTTCCTTCGGTACATGGTGGCGGCCGCACCACAAACGTGGTTGGTGCGATCTCGCAAGACTTCAAGCCCCTCCAATGTACAACTCTTGTGCTCGCAAGCACGGGGTGGCAAGAGGTATGCAAACCTCACTAAACACTAGGCATATACCTAGAGCAAGCGCATAAGCGGTGGTCTAATCAACCTAAGCACTTCGCAAAGCACCTACGCTAATCACCTGATGAAACACTAAGCACTATGCAAGTGAAGATCACTAAAATAATGTATCAACACCCTTGGTATGTTTCCTTAGCTCCACACAGCTCAAATGGCCGGTTGGGGGTTGTATTTATAAGCCCCACTGAGAAAGTAGCTGTTGGGGTCGAACTCCCGTAATTCTGCTACTGACCGGACGCTGAGATCGTCCTGACCGGACGCGTCCGGTCGTCCCAACCGTTGCAGCCGCGAACTACCGATCGACGCGCTGCCGCCGTCCGGTCGCCGCCACCGGGGACGCGTCCGGCGCAGCTTTTCAAGCGCTACCGAACCTCTCTCAGATTCGATTGACGCTGCGTTCCTTCGTCCGTCCGTCGGTTGCTTCCAGCGTCCGGTCCTTGCGTCCGGTCATTTTCTCTGCCGAAACCACCGATCCAGCGTCCGGTCAAGCGCTTCAGTCATTCCGGCCGCCTCTGCGAGCTTCGTTTCTTCGCGATCTTGCGCGCGGCTTGGTTCCTATCTTCATGCTTGGACTTTGCTTGACATCTTGGGTCTTTTCTTGTGCTTCTAAGGTCTTGCTTGAGGTGTTGATCATCAGATCATCACGTCGCATTCGTCCAAGTCACGTCTTGCACCCTATTGGACTACAAAACAAACACTTGCAAATTCATTAGTCCAATTTGATTGTGTTGGTCATCAAACACCAAAATCCAAAGTAAATGGGCCAAGGGTCCATTTTCCTTACAAGGAGTAAGCCTTGTGCAGGCTTCTTTACTAATCCCTCTATATGCTTTTGTGGACTGTGATCGTATGTTGGCAAATGCTACTTTCGAACTTAATTTGCTTCCGCTATTATCTATCAAACTTGATTTATAATAACTTTATTTCATATTCGGATGATGGAAATGTATCTGCGAACTTTATGTAATATGTGACATGTATGTTGAATCATGTACGATCTTGATTGTTTGTGGATCGTTTATCGAGACCCGTCGTGGTACTCGACGGACTACCGGGTTTATATGGGCTCAAGTATGACTGTGACCATTTGCGGGCTGCCATTGTACTTGTGTTCTTATAAATTGGTCGGTTCTGCGACAATTACCTCCCTCGCCCCCGAATCGAGTCGAGCGGTGGTGTAGACGACCAGCAACGCGCCGGCCGCAGGGCAGGCGGGAGCACGACAACGGTCGTGCGGGCGCTACACGCCAGGCCCCGTCGTCAATGACTTCAATGCGGAACAACGGGGCAAAGGTTGCGGCGGCCGTGTCGATGAGATTTGCGCACGCTACCAGCCACCGGCACGCTGTCGAGCTCCACGCATGCACCACCGAGCCGATGAGCCTCCACGATGGATGCTCCAGCAAGCAGGCGAGAGGAGCTTCATGTGACGCTGCCCCACTGGTGAGTTGCCTGCGCCGCTGCCGCACCGACGAGCTCTGCGTCGGCATTGAGCTCCGCAACGACGAGTATCCACCCGCCCAAGCAGCAAGGTGACATTGCATTGCGACCCCATGTTGCAAGTGTATGTTTCAGATGTTTCAACCGTTTGAGATGAATGTTGCAAGTTGTTTACATGAATGTTACAAAAATACATCTAGATATTGCAATACTTATATAAAAATGTTTCATCTGTTTCAGATGAATGTTACAAGTGTTTTATCTAGATGTTGCATATGTTTCACGCGTATGTTGTAAGTGCATGTTTCAAATGTTTCTGTTGTTTTAGTCTTATATTCGATTTGTTTCATGTTTCCGAGATACATTTGGAGAGGCACATGGATTCCTACGTGCTCGTGCGAAATAGAGCACGCGCGGGCGGTCCTCGCATGGCGTTCTTCCTCGGCAGCACAGTCTGTAGTCGGCACGCACACACCAGGCTGGGGCTAGGAACAAACGGTGGAGTAAAAGCGCGCGCATGTAGCCGCAGTGCAGTGCGCACGGAGGTGGTTTCCTTTCCCACCGCCTCCTCGTGCTGTAATTTGACGCGTTCCGCGGGAAACGGAGCTGCGAATCGGAGCGGGGGGGACGACACAGAGCAGGCGCAGGCGTCCGGGCATGAGCGTCCGTCCGGACGTCCAGGCGCTGGCACTATCATTAAACTAAGGAGCTTCATCAGACGCTCATCTTGGAACAGAATTCAAACGCTCATCTTCATCCGGCCTCATGTTCATGTACCAGCCCTCGGTTCTGAGAACATGTCCAAGTGTCTTGTCTAGGTCCACCACCAGTCCTCATGTTCCGGATGTTGTTGGAAGAATTCCTACCTGGTGTATTAGATGGAACTTTCATGGGTAAGAAGTCCTTGAGAATGCTATCCAGGTCCATAAAACATTTCCTGGCCTTTGCATCCGCTATTAGTGCTGCCCAGTCCTCAGACTGCATGAGAGTATTAGCATTACCAACAACCTGAAAAGCAATAGAGACTATAAGTAACATGGCTACATCAAAAAGATCATCGAAGAACAATAGTAGAACACACTTAGGGCCTGCTTAGTTGGGTCCAAAACTTGCTCAACCAAAATCATGGCAAGCCAAAGCTTAAGCCTGCCAAAGTTAGGGCAAAAAAATATGAAATGCATTTGGTCAGAGTGCCATAATATAGTAGTGAGCACTTTCCCACCTTATGAGATTGAAGAAGTTTTTAGTGGCTTTGCCATGATTTTGGCCATAGAAATTGGTGTGCCAATTTTTTTGGTAATAAATCAATCAACAGCCAAAATTTATAGGTATGCCTTAATTTTGGTTGGGCAAGTTTTAGAACCTAACCAAGCAGGCCCTTAATGCACATTGTACTGAGGCAGCATACCCATAGAGCTCTCCTAGCTTGAGTTAGAGCTACGTTCATACATTGTATATCAGCAACGAAACCCACACCATGGTTTGAAGCACGGACACATGACATAATAATGACGTCACGCTCCTGGCCTTGAAAAGCATCATCAACTGTATTTATGTAGGTATCCTCCCCTTCCTTAGTATTCATAACATCCTTAATTTCCTGCTGAAGGCATTTCAACTGCAACTTATATGGTGTGATTATACCAACAGAAACCTTCTTGGCACCATTAGCTTTCAGGAACTTCTGAAGGTGCTCATAGGCCATAGCCTCATACAAACGCAATGTAAACTGCGCTTCATGAATATTCTGATATGAAGATGACCCACCCCCACCCCTATGAGACTCACGGCCATGTCACATGTCATAAAAGATATAAGGTGCCATAAGTGCATCTCTGTAATAGGCTTCATCAGGTAATTTAACAACACTCTCACTATCTGTAAGGCGACCTTGATAGAAGTATTTTGATGGAAATTCACGGATCTGGGGATGCATCCTGTATTGCATTGAGAACAAAATGGTAGGACAACCAGCCTGCTGAAACCTCTCGAAAAGACTCCTACTGTAAAGCAAAGTTCCAGCTGCTTTGCTAATAACAGTAGCAGGGAGCTGCTGTGGATCACCAACCAGGACACATCTAGCTGCACCAAGAGCCAATGGAGGGAGGACTCCTGAGCAGCCTCATCAGTAACAAACTAACAATCATATCAAAGCCATGAGTCAGGCGAGAAAATAACTTACGCCCGCTACTTGACATAGTTGTAAGTCTGTTTTAGCATTCCTGTTGTAAAAACAATTTCAGCTTCACTAGCAAAACTGCTTCCAGACTAGCCCTAGCATCTTCCAAATTGAAGTTGCTGCCAGGACGGAACCTGATTTCTAATATCAGCAGCTGTGACATCTCCACCAATATTTTATCCCTGCTTTCAACTAATGCAGCAAGTTTCTGAAGCAGAATATCACGGTTACGATCCCTTTGAGCAAGAACATCAGGATCAACCCCTACTGAACCCTGGGATCTATCTACCAGCCGAGCCGCTGCAACCATATTGAGTTCCCTTTGAAGATAGGCAATCTCCTGTGATAGCTGCTGCTCACGGCCTTTCAGCTGATGTAGCTACCCAATTACTTCATCACAGCCCTTCACTAAAAGCTGATCTGTCCTTCTTTCAACTGAAACAGCTTGTGCAGCACGAGACTGTGAATCAACTCCAACACGGGCAACATCAGGGCGGTAATACCTTCATTTCACCATCTATAAAACCAGTCAAGAACACGAGCAAGGAGCTCATCTGTTGCAGCACTTGATGGGGCGCATACAAGCATCCGAGGCTTAGGGCAAAGCTCGGGAAGAGTGCGAAATAGATTCTGATCCATGCTCTGTAATAGTTCATCAATTGACCCTGCCGCAACAGTCTCTGAGCTGGTACTAGTGGTACCACTTACTTGCTTGTAACTTTCAGGAGCAAGCTTCTTGAGCAAAGCAGCATAGTAATGTTGATACTGAACAAGATGGATAAAATTTAGCATCCCCCACACAGTATGGGTTTTCCCTGTCCCAGGAGGACCTTGTACCAACGTGGAAGGCCATGGTTCTTGTTTCTTTACGACACCATTGCTTGTGCCAGCAGCTGTATGTGTTGCAGCCCAATGAATTACCGACAATTGAGGACCATTGAAAATTTGAAACTCCGATGGAGATGATCAGCAAAATTTGGGGTGAAGCAGTTTGGCATGGAAGGTGGTTGCTCTTGATACTTCAGGAAATGCTCTGAACTTGGTTGAAGCATTGCATTTTGCATCTGATGGATTTTTTTTTGTCAAAATCGACTGATATATAAGTTAGAAATAAAGGAAGATAATGGTTAGGTGTAATATAGCGTTACCTGCGCACTAAGACGGCGGAACGTGTGCAAAGCAACATATTCTCTTTGTTGTTGTTGCAAGAGAACCGAGTCCAGTTAGATACCAGGTACTCCGAGGTTGGAGTTTCCTCAGAACATTAGCCTCACTGCTATGGATACAACACAAGAATAACGAGACAACTTAGCGAACAAATATGCAAATGATGGAGAACAAGTTCTGAATTTTGTTCCGAAATGAAACAACTATAGCAAAACAATTTGAAGTTGTTTCATAGTTAGCAATCAAGTGCAGATAGAACTTCATAAAAGGGGTTTATTAATCACTCAACAGGCTGCTAGGATTAAGTGGGGCAGCGCTACCCAAAGAGACCTACCAGACTCATCAGTTCATAAATGGGTTTTAGCTCAATGCCTCAATCCATCCAGATAGGCTGCTATGGTCAAGTGAGGCGCAACCTACAGGGCGGTACTGGCCTCATTGGAGGCCCTGTGCTCAAGTTGAATTTGAGCCCTATAGTATCCTGTTTGTAGTCAACAAAGGACCGTCGACTAAGAAGATTAACATTTGAATTTTGATACACTAGAAACATTTTACATCTACAGCACATTGCAACCTTTTAAATCACACATTGCACTCCTACTGTAGTTTCCTTATCAAATTCTCTTATGAAACTTTGATAGTAGCAACCATTCACAAATTATCTTGAACACCAGTGGACAAATAAGCCTCAAAGTATGCCATGTGCCTTCTCTTTTTTCTGACTAATGACAGGCATTATTCTGTCTTCAATACTGTGGCCATGGGATTAATAAGCAGAGAAGCAAAACATTGGACATGACATTAATAGCACAAGCATCCAAACTCTATACGACTATACCTGAGAAGCACCATTACTTCCGTGGCAGTGAGAAAACAATAGATGACGAGAAAGCCCCAAAAGGCATATTAAGAGCGGCAGCAATCCAGCAATGCACAGGAGCCTATGGCCTGCTTAATTATGACATTAACCATCTTACACTAAAACTACACAAGAAAACATCAGTACCCTATGTGGCTACCGGCTTGATGGCCCTGACCACACATATATAAACAAGCCTGGACCTATTGTGCTCAAGAAACTAGAGTTAGGGAAACTGCAGTAAAATGCAGAACAGTGGGGTTTCTATCTCAACCATTCAACATAATTCTGCGTGCCAAGAACATGAACAAAAACACACAGTACAAAGCTTGTATGTATGTTAGAGAAGAGTGTTACTTATTGTACTCACAGACGAAACTACAGAATGTCTAGATAACCACTAGAGCTACAAAAACTTACCTGCATAATATGACCAAAACATACAGACCCCACAGAACTAAATTCCTCATCCAAGTAGATTTGTCCATCTTTGCTTACCAACTACCAAGCCTTCATCCATATATATGCCACAGCTCCTCACTATAAATTGAAACAGTCTTGTAGCATTGTGATTATTACAAGGTAAAGAATCCAAGGAGAAGCCATCCAGGCCAATGTGGTCAAGCATATGGCAATTGTTCCATGCCCCCAATTCACACTAACATTTCAACTATATATATATATATACACTTATAAGAGCTATATTATCGTTCCCTTTAATTAGCCCCAAACATTTTATTTTATTTTAGCTGTATACATACATACACACACAGGATGATATAACAGGAAGAAGAAGCGTGGTCATGCCGCCGCCGCGGCGCCCTCAGGTTCCTTCTCCCTCTTGGCCGCTTCGTCCTCCTTATCATCATCGTCCTCCTCAAGCTGCGCGACAAGATCCTCTAGCACCACAGACTTGGGGTTCACCATGGGCGGCCCCTTCTCCCTGCCCTCGAGCTCGTCGAGATTGAAGGTGATGAGCCTGTCCCAGATTCCTCCCTCGAAGAGCACCGCGACCTTGCCGTCGGTGACGCGCTGCACGATCCCGCAGTACATGTGGTAGGCGTTGTTGGGGTTCTTGACCAGCACCACCATGCCCGGCAGGAACAGCGGCAGTTCCGGCGTCCGCGGCGGCGCGGAAAGCGTGGCTTGCGGGGGAAGCTGGGAATCTGATTTCTTGGAACGAGGAGGCGGCGGGTTCTTGGCGACGAAGTCCTTGAGGCCGACCTCGCCGCCGGGGAAGCCGCCTGTGAGGCCCATCATCTCCTTCTCGAACGCGTCCAGATCAACCGGGGGCGGAGGAGACTCTGTCGAAGGAGAAGGAGAGGGCGCGGGCGAGGTGGTGGTGGAGGCGGAGGAGCCGGAGGCGAGTTCTTTGCGGACGCCGACCTCGCCGTTGCAGAGGCCCCGACCGCCAAGTATTTCGGCGACGCGGAAGGAGGCGGAGGGAGGGCGGAAATGGAGGCGAGGGTGCGGGTGGTGTGGCAGCGGCGGCGGGCGGAGGAATGAGGAGCTGGTGGGCGGCGGCGCCATCGGAGGAGCGGAGAGGAGCGCCCGCGAGCGAAGCAGAACAGACAAATTCGGGAAGCTGTGGATGAGTTTGTATCCATTGATGCTAAAAAACAAAAAAAAAGTTGTGGATGAGTGGTGGGTGGAAAACGGAGAGGGGATGAGGCACCACGCTCTCGATGGCTGCCACGTGGCACTGCCTACCTGCTGAATAGGGTCGAGGGGACTGTTGGTGTGGCTGCCAGATGTTTTTTTCCTCTCTCTTTTTCTTATCATTACGAGAGAAAAATAGTTTTTTCCGATCACATATACGCATGCATATCAAACTGTGTTGGAGAGACTGAGACAAATGATTTTAAAAATAAGTAAAGCATCTTCAGAAGCTCCATAAGATTACTTAGTAAACCAATGATTATGCTAGATGAATAAAATAAACAGAGAGCTTTATTTTTATCGTTCTCGAATAATTTTTAATAATTAGCTTTCTAAAATTCGAAAATTGGGAGGAGTAAAATCGTCCTAGAGATGGGGAAACTGCGTGAAAACCATAGTGGTGGGGGTACTCGGCACGCCTATATTTGTGAGTTGAGGAGTTCATAAAACTCTAGATAACAGAGCCAACACGTCTTTGCAAAAATCAAGGAGGAGACACCACCAGGATCATGTTATGGGTAAAATGTTTGACGACTTTTATTGTGCGAGAGACCATTATATGTTTATTTTTTTTTTAAAAACCCAGATAGCTAAGATGTAAATCTCTCTTCTCTATCAATGAAATTGACATAATCTCGTGCTAATCAGTAAAAAAATCAGCCTTAAACTGTTCTACAAATGATGAAAACCTAGTTTTAAACTGTTTTGCAAATGAAAATCGGTGGACTTCCTTGTCAACTCCATATGTTTTACCCATTCTCTTAGGTTTGCAAGTACTCACCCATGGTTGATTTACACATGAGGAACCTAAGTATATCACTTCAAAAGACAAGAAATTTGTTTGTCCGGTTCCATGATAGTTACATCCAACTTCTAGTCTACCTTTAGTTTGTTTGGACAGTTCATTGTCAACCCTATTCCATCGGAAAGACAAGAAAATAAATTTCTGTTTTTATGCCAAGAAAATTCTTTGGTTATACGCACTCGGCGCGACTCGTCATGTTCTCCCGTGTTTCGGCAATCGGCGTGCTATCTTCCATGCTCCGTTCTTCACCGATGGAGTCATAAATCAACAATCACTACTAAGAACATTTCTAAAGATAATAGAGTCCAAGGAGTACTTTAAAAATAGGAGGATCTCTAGATAAGATCGGATTGCATGCAGAGATCAGGTTTTACTAAAGAAAAGATCTTGCTTCGAGCTAAGACAGATCCAAAAATGCACAGAGCCTATTCTCAACCATAGCTAAAAGGATGTCGTCCGTCGCCAACTACAAGAGCCCCTGCGAACGAGCGCGCGTGAGAGAGAGAGAGAGGGGTTGGTGAGGGCCAACAGTAGGCTATAAGAGGATGCCGGTTGTGGTTGCCTTGCCTCCCTTTTAACCACGGCTAACTATTAGTTTGGCCCGTCCCTAGGGTGGATGGCAACCTGAGCCTATAACTGGGACAACACTGGCTAGTCTCGATCGGCTGCTCATCGGCGCCGGCGAGGACTCGTCCGTTCATATGAATGGGACTCCTTGCCTGCTGGAATAGGCTTCCCCCCTCGTCGCCCCCACCCCCACACGACACGGCTAGAACAGTGAGTTCCGATCCCCTTGTTGTCGGTGTCAATGTTGTTGCTACTCTAATTGAGGGCAAAGAGGGATGCTTGAGCTAGATAGTGCAGATTTAGCTATGATTTTAATATCCTCTTTCTCCCTCTAACCTCCTTTGGGATGTGTTTCTTATATATGGATAATAAATAGTTATCTACACAACAAGACCCCATAAAATTTGTTTGGGGGCGGTTCCATGATAGTTTACATCCAACTTCTAGTCTATGTTCAATTTGTTTGGGTGGTTCATCGTCATACCCTTGTCCATCACAACGACAAGAATTTTTTTTGGTTCTACGAGATTGGCGCGCTACCTACCATGCCCCGTTTTTAACTGATCCCATTGCAAATTGGCACCCACTACTAAGAACAGCTCTACAACATAATATGGTCTGAGACATGCTCTAAAAATAGGAGGATCTCTAGATAAGCTTGCATTGCATGCAGAGATGAGGTTTTACTAAAGTAGAGATATTGCTTCCAGCAGGTCCAAAAATGCACAAAGTATATTCTCAGCCATGGCTAAAATGATATCGTCTGTCACCAACAATAATTGCCACATGCGCGCGC